ATGAGATATATATGAGTTTGATTAGATTAATTGAACTCCGATTGTGTTGTGTTATATGAAGGTTGTCATTGTATGATAGTTGATTTTGATAAGTTGTATGTTGATACATGTTGTATAATGTTTTAAATTGTCTTATAATTAAATTAAGATATATGAATTGTATGATGGATGATGTATGATATATGATAATTATGTGGATAAGGCAAAAAATGGTTTATGGATATGTTTTATATACTATGAAGTACTATAAGTTGAATGATGTAAGTTAGTTGACGCATAAGTTATAAGAATTGTATGATATTAAGTTGCTGGAGATGTGTGATGAAATGATATGTTGATCATATAGATGGTTGTACATTGATGTTCTATGTAATGAGGTACATGCTAAGTATTGTGTATTATTGTTGTTAAGTTAAAAGTTGGTATACATGTTGATATATGGTTAAGTTATCAAGATGTAAGTTGATATGATGTTATGTTGTTGTATGGTTAAGACATAAGTTGATTGATGTATAAGCTTTAGCGACAATGATAAGTTGTTAGGAATGTGGTTGTGATACATGTTTATGTTTATATACATATGAACTAGAAGAGAGTTAAAGATATTTTCGATTTTTAATACCCCATTGTGTGGATATATGTTGTGTTGAACCTTTTAGTAAGTAAGTTGACTTTTAAATGGGTATGTTATTTTTGTTGTCTCCTCTAAGTTTTATGTGGTATTCATATGTGTGTAAGGTTGAGACATATTTGTATAAAGTAACCATAGTATGGAGGCAACATCGAGCTATACTAATTACAAGTGACCAACCTAGTAAAGTACGAGGTTGGAGACTTAGTCCCTAACCAAGTATTGGGGGCTTGTGCTATTTGGAGGGTAGTTATTAGGCTAATCACATAGGGGACTTAGTGTTACAAGTTAATATTGTGATAAACTCAAACCCAATTATTTTACAATGACGTAGTATCATACTTCATAGTTTAAGTGGTGAAAGTTGAGAAATCAATCTAGCTTATGCTAGTTGTTGTTTCTAGTCTTATGTTAATCCTTTTTTTTGGCCTTAGTATCAATCGTTATTTTTTGGTATTATACCAGTCGTCGTGATTTAATAAGGTTAAACCACTTAAATTGATAACCTTAGTTGTAGGAAATCTCCGTGGTTGATATGTGTGACAAAACATCAACTATATATCTATGTTGTTCTATTACATAACTAGTACTGGTTATATATGTAAATGTTGTTAAACTGAAGGTGCAAAGGTGTATGAATTGTTATATGTTGAACAATGTAAACTTGATATTATATGAAGGTGATGTATTATTTGATAACTGTGATGAAATTACCTAAGTTATATAAGTGTTTGGATACTTTAAGTTGTATGGCAAGACATGATATGATGTAATGAATGATGTTTCTTTTAAGTTGTTTATGTTGCATGTTGTTGTATGACATTGTTTTTATATCACAAACCTATCTTGTGTTTTTCCTTGTGGTTTAGACTATTATGATCATATTTGGTATGTGACTATGTGAGCAGGACAAGATTAGCGAACCAAGTTGTATTATTCAGTGGTGAGTCACGTTGAAAGTGAATCTCTTTTGAATATCCTTGAGGTAGATAGGTCATGTATAGGTGCTTGATTCACGACTAAATTTATTTTATATACTTACTTCTTTTTGTATGAAGTATGTATATATGTTCATAAACAATTATTTTATTTCTTACTGGCTATATGAGATTTACTTACTTATTACATGATATCCTAGGCAAATGTTTGATACTTGTACTTTCGCTTAGTTATTGTTGGACCGTAATAAGTGTAATGACCAGATAATTTGTTACAAGTAAAGATAAGTACAAAAAAATAGTATAACAACTAAAAAAATATATTAAAAAAAGGACAAATAATCATATTATTTTTATGAAAGTTCTACAACACCTTTCTTAATTGAAAGAGTATCGTTATAGTTGAAATTATCAATTTTATTCTAAATTTGTTATTTTTAATAATTTATTCATACAATATTATTATATTTTAAATTATTTATATATTTTATTGTGTATTTTATCCTTACATTTTCTTTCTAAATTATCTAATCGTTTTATTTTTATTCTATATGCTCTATTTTTCTTTTGTAATAGTATTATTATATATTTAAGTAGTTTATTTTTAATGATCTTTTAGCATATTTTTGTCTTTTTACCTTAAAATTTTGAATTTCTATAATGTAAATTAGTTTTCACTTCTATTACTTGTTAACTTTTTTCTTTTAATATTTTTATAGCATTATTACAATCTTATAATATTATCCTACTTTTAATCTTGCATCCAACGAATTGAAGTTTAGGGGGGTGTATTGGTTTAGGATTTCGTAGGATTTAAAAAAATGCAAGAGAAATTTGATTAAAAAAAAATGCTAAACCTAAATTTGAAAGGAAAAAGCCAATTAAGGAGTTAATTCTACATTGTTGTCTTCTCGGTTTAGATTTGACATTGCATATTAAAATTTTCAGCTTACATTTTTTTCTTGAGTGTTTTTGGTTTTATGAATCAATTCTAGAACCTTTCTTAGGTTTGTTCTTCCTTGACCTAGTTTAATCTTGTCTTTTGTCATCTATATTCACTTCTCCTACTCTAATCTTCCTTCCTATAACTTTTCCATACTTGTGCTGTTTGTATTCATTATGGAACTCAAATGTGACCTATGCTTGACCTAGTCTATCTCCTTAGAAGCTAGTTCTACAAGGGTCATCAAAAGAGGACTAAGAAAAGGAGGAGGAAAGGGAAAAGGAGGCTTTCGGATTTGGCTATCAAACACCAAACACTTGTGGCTGGAAATTTGAAGTGGCTGGACTAGCATTTCCGTGAAGACTTCTTGGAGATTCAATTGAAGATTGTACTTGAATTTTAATAAAAAAAAAATATATATATAAAAGAGTTAGTAACGGATTTAGTGACCAATTTTTTTTACTAATTTGAAATTTTGTTGCAAATTTGGTCACTAATCTATCACTAATTCTTGGTTGCTGTTTTCATATTTTATTTTGAGCCACTTGTTCTTTGTTTTTTCATACTTTGTATTTGGCCATTTCAAGGAGTGTCTTGGAAGTGTCTTTGGTACACAACTATCTCTCCTTAAGTTGACAATTTCGTTAGTACTTGGTGGGAGTGGTCCTTGATTGATCTTTGGTATCTCTCAAGCTCTCACCCTAGGACACGTTTAGGTAGTTTAATGTGTTGCTTAATACTTGTTTTATTTGTTTTTATACGACTAGTTCATCTTAGTTCACAAAAACATCAAAAACATATATTTTCATTGAAAAAAAATTTGGTAGAGATTAACTACAAAGGGGATTAGTAATTTTTACTTGAAGAGGCTTGGTTTTTAAGTGGCTCCTAGTAGCTCACCTCCCTCCAAAGTTCAATTTGTATACATAATCCTCTTAGTACTTAGTCTTAACCTTGCATAAAAACAATTGATTTTCAAA